TTGCCCAAGCTGGTGTTGAACTCCTGAGCTCAAGCTATCCTCCCACCTCAGCCTCACAAAGTGCTGGGATGCCAGGCCTGAGCCACCATGCCTGGCCCAATACGATATCAATCAAAATTGTAAAAAACATGGCTTTTTTTGAGATGGAGTCTCGCTCTGTCACCCAGGCTGGAGTGCAGTGGCATGATCTCGGCTCACTGCAAGCTCCTCTTGCTTATCACCCAACACAGGTGGGGACATATGGGACTACACGCACCTCTATCTGCCTCCTGGGTTTCAAGCATTCTCAAAAACAATAAGCACACTTTACGCTCTTGATAGAGGGGATTACAGGCGCAGGCCCACACCAATGCCCGCTATTTTTTGTATTTTTAGTAGAGAATTGTGGTTTCCCTGTGATACAGGCTGGTCTCCCGACTCTTGTCTCACCAAATACAAGAAGCAAATGCGGGCCATGCGCCACGTGCCCTCTAGTCGACCAAGCTATATCGAGGACTTGAGACAGGAGAATTCGCTTCGAACCCGAGAGGCGAGAGTGCAGTGACAAGATGGAGCAACACCTGACACATCCGACTGGGCAAAGAGCAACTCTGTCTCTACAAAAAACAAACAAAAAACATGACATGTAGCAACGTACTTCTATAAAATATAAATATATTCCAAATAATTATAAGGAAAAAGAGACCAAGGAGTGATTAGGGTCTTTACTCCTGCTATGGAAAATTAATTTTTATGTTCTCAAATTTTTATTATTATTATTTTTTGAGACGGAATCTCACTCTGTTGCTGAGGCTGGGAGTGCAGTGGGTGCATTCACACTAACTGCATACACTCCACCTCCTGGTTCAAGCAATTCTTTCGCTTCAAGCCTCCCTACGTAAGCTGGACTTACAGGCGTGCGCCACCCACGCCAGATACTTTTGTACTTTTAACTAGATACTGGGTTTCACCATTGTTGCCAGGATGGTCTCAATTTTTGACCTCCATGATCCGCCCGCCTTGGCCTCCTCAAAGTGCTGGGATTACGGGCACGAGCCACCATGCCCCGGCCACTGTTTCTCAAATTTTATTATGGTTTTTTTTTTTTTTTTTTTTTTTTACAAAATATGGATATATTTTAATTTACCCAAATGGGAACTGCTGATAAGCAGTTCTTATTTTTCCAGGCTAGCAAGGCTAAAAATATCTTTGAAATAAGGTACTGATGCTTTTGTGTTTTTGTGAAGCTAATCCAATAAGTGATAAGTAAGGTCGAACGAAAGACATGATTTTTGGCTGGGCGTGATGGCTCACAACCTGTTAATCCAGCACTTTGGGAGGGCCGAGGTGGGCGGATCACAAAGGTCAGGGAGATCGAGACCCATCCTGGCTAACATGGTAAACCTTGTCTCTACTAAAAAAATACAAAAAAAAAATAGCCTGGCGTGGTGATGGGGCCCACCTAATAGCCGCTCAGCTAATTGGAGGGCTGAGGCAGGGAGAATGGATAAACCGCGGAAGAC